ATACTTAATTGTTTTTCCCATTTTTTATACCTTGTTACTACTTCTTAGATATCTTTTGAAAGATTACCGACTCCATCTTCCACACCTAGTGTGTCCAGTATTCCCCACAAGTTCTCTTGGACCATGCAATCACACTCCCTTGATATCCAAAAATGCTAGCCACAAGGGCCTGTGTTCCTTTTCTGCTATTTCAATGCACTGCATCAGCGAGAACAGATTGTCTTCCAATTTCTTTTGTTTCCGAAACCCATTCCACAGTTCCCTTAGCACATCCTCATCCTCTTCTATCCATGCCTGCAGTCTTTCCTTTATAATGTGCATCACCAGCCTGTAAACCACTGATGGGACGGTATAGTTGTTTATGTCAGTTTTGTCCCCCTTTTCTTTATAGATCATGCTCACCCTGCTAAGCTTCGATCCATTAGGGACTTCACCATCGATAATTGTTTTGCTCACTGCCTCTCTCAACGTTTGGTTAGACTTGGGACCCAATTCCTTTATCAGCATAATTGTACAGCATAATTGTGATGTACCACTAGAAATCCTCTTGTCAGGGAGAAGGTAGACAGTGCTGGATTCAGCATAGGGTTAATATAGAGGCAGCCTATACATTAACTCTATGGGATTCAGAGAGAGAGAGAGAAAAACATTTATTTATACATCCGGCTACACAATTAATTTGTCTTCATTTACCCTCATTTTGCAGTGTACTGATACTTATGATCTCTTTTCTGAAGTCACTACCCCGTTCGACAAGTCGTGCAACGTGCCGCTTCCTGCAAGCAATGAGAAAAGCAAAAATTTTCTTTGCTCACAATTGACATAACCAACAATGAATTCGCTCTCCACTCCTAGCCTGAGATTTCATTCTGTTAATGCCAAAGGTAAACATCAATGACTTAAGGATGAAGAGATACTTAACTGCAACTTAGTTAGACTGAGTAACTGTAACACAGATAGATTCAACAATAGATTCAACCATAGATAGATTCAACTATAGATAGATTCAACCATAGATAGATTCTACCACATTGACTACATTCCTCCCTTCGAAACTTGACAATTACAGAGACCAGATAATTAATATATACATCCAGACGTTATACAGAAGCTGCCTATTTCATCATGGCTCAGGCCCCTTGAAAACAAATAGCATTCTGCAGCATGGACATTGGCAAAATTTTGTCTTGGGGTGCAAACCAATCTTGCATCAAGGCGGAGGGTGGGGGGGAGGGGGGGGTCATTTTTGGTGTAGCTTAGATGCAAGTGCTTGTGTTGTTTGAAGGAAACAAGCACCCTTTTTGCAACCCCCTGCCAATGCCCTACTTCTGCAGTGTGAAGTTCACCCCTATGAAGTGAAAACTCTTTTACACAAAGACACTAGAAATTGCAAGCCGTCATGGCGATGCCTATATAGGAACAAGGCGACATTACTTTGGGTGCACACTCAGTATTGCAAACCAATTTTTGGAAAATACCCTACACCAAGGGGTATTCACGTCAAGGTCAAAGTAACCCTACTTTGCAAAGCACAACTTTTTTGTTACCCTACATTTTACCCTACACTTAGAAATGGCACGCTGTGCACACCACAGTGCAAGGTGTACATAGTGTACACCTTATGAAGCTCAGATGTATGGGGTGCCTACAGAGTCGGCCTACCTATTACCGTGCGATGATAAAATTTGATGACTTCACTATTTGATGTCACATTGTGATGCCACACTCGTGTCACAATGACTTCATATTGAAATAAAAAAATTTAGCAATGCGTCATGCCACAGTGACATCATGAGGTGGTGTTGTTATATCATAATGATATTTAGCAACACTCGCATTGATGTCAACCACCACTTTTCGTACATAATGAGGCATCTGGAGCTTTGACCTTAATAACTGAAGCCGACCACCATTGTAGAATTTAAATGCCCCGCCGCAACAAACCGATCAAAGACAACGAAAAGTAAAAAAAAATATTTTAAAAAACTAGCACAAAGATGTTTGAGGTATCATCTTTCAGCTTTTGAGCTTGATGTTGGAATTACGACAATTACGATTTTGATCTCTCCAGTAATGTAACCTTCGGATATGTCGCGTGGATTTTCCATATTTTTCACTGTGGTTGAAATCAACTTATGTCACCACCCTACGAATCCACGCTGGCGAAAAAATTCCGAAAATACCCCACAACTTGGTATGGCTACCCTAGTTTGGCGACCCTGGTGCACAGCCGAGTGTGTTTAACAGCTAGTGAACCTACCAGCCCCATTGTGAATATCTTGTGACAAGATAACATCTTGTTTATCAAAAAACTCATGCAAGATTTTATAAAAGAGCATGGCACTAAAATATATGTATGGCTATGCTTGCTTTCTTATCTTTTTTTTTGCGTCTGTCTTTCAAGTTCTTTTTCTCTAGGCATATGTTTATTTTTTCTTGATCTTTCTTTTTTTATCTACCCTTTCCCTTCTTTCTTTCTGGCTGTAGTTCTTTCACGTTTTAACTTCTCTTTCCTTTCCACTTATTTCTTGCTTGCCATCTTTCTCTCTACTCACTCTCATCTTCTCCTTTCATTCCTCCTCACCCTTGTTTTCTACCCCCTTGCTATACTATGCCACATTCTGCTTATGCCTTTGCTATAAGGCTATGCCACATTCTGCTAAGATGCTTGCCTTTGGATTTTGTCGACACAGATTCACCATGCCTCTCTATGCCAATAAAATATCACCAAAAATTTCTTTCTTTCTCCCTTTCTCGAATTGAGCATCACTCATGCATTAGAGTTACTGCATCCCACACTAGCAAAATCTACACACATGGTTTTGGAGTGAAGCAGACGAGGACAAAAATGAAGAGAGTATAATTCACAGTATAATAAATGAAGTATAATAAATGAAGAGAGTATAGTGAAGCAGAAGAGTATAAAAATGAACATGTGACAATAATTTTGTACTTATTACAACTCATGGCAAACCTTAACCATAACAGCTCGGGTTTAATATACTGCGCCTATGCTGGGCCCGAACCCTAATCCGCTGCGTGCCATCCCAGTATTCTACCACTGAGCCACGCCCGTGTTGGGGACTTGTTTGCAAATTTGCTTTAGGCAGACCTGATGTCAGAAAAGGAATCATGTTAATATGAGTACTAAAGTATTTTAGAACAGCAAAAAAACAACCAGGCGTCACCCATTGTGAATAGTGTAACGAGTGGGTCGTCCAATGCTCCAACCCATTACAAAAGCTTGTTTTTGATCACCTATTGACTGTAGCACTTACCCACTTCAGGCATAATTCCTCATTGTCTTCAACCACTGCATTAACAATTGGCACAAAATTCCTTTCAAGTGTATAGCAGATACAACGCTTCTCAGAAGAATGACAAAAAATAGCATAGCGAATGCTGGCCTACTACCGAGAAAATATTATTAATGCCGTAGTGAGTACCCAGCAAGTGTGCTTGCAGCAGTTACCCGATGAGTGTTTATATAAGGCTCTGAAAGGCCTCTCTTCTAGCTTTTACTGTGACTGTGCTGCCCCTTCCGCCCAGGTCTGGCATTTTTTGAATTTATTACCGAAATAGAACAGTCATGCAGTCAGTGAAAGACAGCTGTAGTTGTGCCTCCTTGCCTAATTGTATGGTATCATGCATGACACGGGCAGCACTACGCTCTATAAAACTGACACGTTACAAAATTTTTGTGCTTGCCGCATAACCGCATTATCATTGGCAGTGAAAGGGCAAAAGCAGCCGTGCATTTAGACATGAACATGTTTGGCTTGTACCATTAGTAGAGGCCTGATGCAGCATGGTGATTTCACGTATTCGCCTGTGCCAGTAAATGGTAAAATTGGAATTCTCTATAGAATGTGCTTACTCACAACTGGACCCCCTAAATCTTTCTTTGCAGCTTCAATATCCCTTTGTCTCTCTCGACACGCGACTTTACTGTATTGCTTGAAGTTGGGTCGCTTTCATCATGCCGTGTTTTCGCATATACATTCTCATACTATACTCGCATACTCGCACATATTCGCATACCGCCTGTCCTTAAAGACATACATTGATGGTTGCTAGAGACAAACTGGACCACAGTGCTCACACACACACACAAACACACACATACACACACACAAAAATCGGGATCATGGTGTTGACTGTGAGGTGCATTGCCGGTCATAAATGCCGTGCCTTTTAAATACAACCTAACTCTGGTGACATTCTAAGATTACACAAAAAATGTCATTGCATGCATGTGCACACATCACTTGCTTCCTTGTTTTTCTGTGCACTTCCCATTCCCCCAATGCGGGAGGGTAGCAAACCAGGTTCAATGGCAAACTTAACCTTCCTGCCTTCCTTTTTGTCCCTTTCTGGCATCAGCTTTGAAGGTCTCTTACTGGATATAAAAATGCCAGCTGCCCACAAAAAATGTACAGCTTTCCTTGTAAACACATTTAACACGTGCTTAAACCAAGATTCCACGCCACAATCTGCTCCGGGCGATGTTATTCATCGTGCTCGTATAGAACAGTTATGCACCCATCACACTCACACAAAATAGTCATGCATGTTCTGCTTTCTTTTTATCAAACTATACTGAAAAATATGCTTTACGAAGTAGATTTTTTCAGATTCTAACCCTGGAAGTAGAACTTCATGAGGGTGCTTTTGAAATATGCTGCAATTAATAAAACCAGTGCAGCCTCAAGTGATATACAAGGTTGACAAGTCTTTTTACTTTTGTTGGCACGCTGGATTATAAAATTTGTGTAAGAGATTGTGCCTAAATGGGTAGTTTTAGTAGTGTGGAGCCTAGAAGCCAGTTGCACATGCCCACTCTAAGTGGTGGGCCAAGAGCCATGTTTGCCTAGTTTTATAAGATTGTTTAGATGATTAAATTTAAAATATGGCACATTTCCTAGCTCGTGCCAAAACTCATTCAATATTTTCCCCTTGGCCAACAGTTGCAAAACTACAACAAGATACACGAGACACAATGCTGGTCAAAAACATACCGTTGAAATTTTAATTTTAGGAACCGAGCTGTCATAACACACTCACCTTTCACAAGTATTGCAACACTTCTTAACTAATGAATTTATGGTCAGTTCACCAGCTCAAAGGAAGATAATTTTGCTTCAAGGAAGGGGGACAAGGCAGGAGCAGCTAGTGGCAGAGGCTTTGCAGTGAAGCCTCAGTCTGATTTTGGAAGACAATAAAATGCAAACTCTTCGTTCTTTCCGCCAATTTACACAGAAAGGAGTTTCAACAACAATTTAGCAATCGATAACAGGAAACTACCCTTGAGCCTACAATGAGAAAGAAGAAAATAAGGGTAATAATAATAATAGTGAAAAAACAGTGACACGATTTGTCGTAACAATACATTGTAACACACGCAACTCGACCACGACAGTGGCGCAGCACTGGTGATCACTAACAATATGTTTGGTTGCATCCTCGCTTGATTCCCGCTTGGAATGAATATCACCCGTGCATGGGAAGGTGCGCAACTACCATATCGTGTTCTCATTCAAGTCAGCCTCCAGGGGATCACAAAAAAGGTAGAGACGCACACACACACATCCACAACCCCAGTGATGCACATAAAATGAACTTGGCCCGTTTGAATTCAAGTCGCAATGTCTGCAAGCACTTAGCGAACAGCATACTTGTTTGCAGTCAGAGGGAATGACAAAAAGTGAAAGAACAGGACTAAAAGATGGAAAGAATAGGAACACTGCTGCGCAAAACACGCATTGCTTCCCTGCTCCAGGGTTGCACACAGCAGTCTCGGAAAGAATGTGGCTATTGGTATCCGCACCACAGATCACACAATCGCTATGTACCAGTCCCGAGAAGAGAGGCAGTCTTTGCTGAAAAAAGCAAATCACAGCACAAGTGGAGTTCTACAAAGCGATGGCAGCTTATGCGCTGTAAGAGCCTAGCGACGAGGGTACACCTACACCACACCGGCTCTTAAGCCACCTTCGCCTGTACCAGGAGGCAACAAACCAAGCTGGAATTCACGTGCCTGAATTCTCCAAGAACATTCACAGAAAAGCATTTGGGAGCACCAACTAATGTTACTGCTCGGTATGCACCAGTAATGCACACCATGAAAGAGAAAACGGAAAAAAAAAGGAACTGCTGTTTGGGCCACATATAAGCACGTCGTTATTTGCATGGATGATGGTTGCAGTCAGCAACCGGTCATAGTGAAGTGAATGAGAGAAGGTCGCAAGCAATAACTTCAGTACAACCGCCATCTCCGAAGTACCGCACAATTCAGCAGTTCATATCGTGTTCCAAGCACAATGCAGAAATGTGTGCTACAGAAAAGCTTTGACACACAAGGTATACCCCTAATAGCAGTGCAACCTTCCGACGCTCCACAGTGCATCTTTGCATTCATTTTTGTCTTCTCACTTTAACCGTTTCCGAGGCGCAGGCACGTACTGCAACCCACAGGGCAGCAAGCAGACGCACAGCACGCACATTGGGCAACTACTTCTTGTGCAAGTTTAGCAAAGGCACGTGAGCACCAGTCAATGAGGTTTTCCTCGCCACAGAGAGGTGCCAGCGGCAGTAGCAGCAGCTGAGTCCTGCAGCTGCTGCGTGAAGCTCACTTCCTGGTCTTCCCATCCAAGAGAAGATAAAGGGCTGCTTGCTCGCTTGCTTGCTTGTTCGGTATGCTGTGTGAATGCTGCTTGCGGCTGGTCATGACGAGGGAAAAAGCCCTGCTGCTTGACACCTAAGATGCCTGCCACTTGAACTTCCCCTGCATGACCCACCGCTGCGAAGACCGGCCGTCACACTCCCTCAGAACGGGGAGAGAAGGATCCTTGGCCTCGGGTTGGTCGAGGCAGCGTGCCGTGTTGACGTGCTTGAACGACTGCTCCTGCAAGATGACACGACAAGCTTTTTGTCAAGTGTAAGCACTAGAAAGTTGAAGTAGGTGGTGAAAATTCAAGATTAAAATGTGGAGCAACAGGCAACAAAGAGCAAATGTCAAAAGAGAGAACTAGAAAAGAAACAATACATTTTGAGAGATTCTATGTCAAAAAGATGATGTGCGATACACAAGAAACAGGGCAAGGAATACTCAACAGTTGCATATCTGTCCTTTTCATCTGCACCTTTTATGATGTAAACGAGGTTCAATGTACCTGACGATGAGCACTACAAGAGCTCACTGTTAGCATTTCTTTTCTTTTTAATAGGTACAGGCCTCATGGACAAGTCTGATATATGTACTGACAGAATGCAGCTGCTGGGAGTGCTACTCCAGACCTGGAGGCTATAACTCGCATCACAGTCATCAATTTACTATAGCAGTTTTAGCCTCCGCTGCAATTACTGATGCCTCTATGGTCAAACCATTGCTTACATTGAATGGATGTATAACTGTATACAGTAAATGTGTCTATTTGGACTACAAGGGATCAGTAAAAATGTCCTAATTAACCAATTTCTCAAAGATTGAAAGTATAAGAAAAGCATTTATTTATTATGTAGATACACTTTCATTGTCCTGAAAAATACGTGACTCCTGCGCGTAGTTTGCATAGGATCAGTGCATAAGCCACAGTCTCCACTACTCACAACTTCGTTCACAAGTTGATCGCGGCTTGAGACCTCCCTTTCCAAATTAACCCGAGACGTGCTCCCCCAAAATTGAAATGTCGTTACCGGCATTACTGAGCGGTTTGCGCTGACAATTGTTGCGAACGACGGACCGATCCCGCCGAAGCCACCACTGTTGCGAAAGACGGCGACGCCAACACGGTCCCGATGGCGCCCCTGCTTCCAACTCCGCCGGGAAGGTCACCAGCCGTTTGGTAGCGTATGTTTATCAGCTCGCGACTGCTTCTGCGCAGAGCTGATCAGACGAGCGGACGAGACGACGGTGAGTCAAACAAGGTTTATGTACAGCATATATACAGAGGCGTTACAATTTCGGCACTGGGGCCGACAGAGACTCGAAGAGCCGAGCTCTTCTCTCTAACACATAGTTAAGCCTTTCGCCTAAGACCGCTGACTCACACACATGTCGGCACTCCGACACGGGGACGCCTCTCACATAGGACCGCCGATCGCGACGCGCCGCAGGGCTTCTTTTATTTACACCGGGTCCAACCAAAATGTCCAATCAGAAGCGCCGCTGGTCGTCCGGGCAGATTCCGCCAATGGGGCCGCCGCGCCATGCGTCAGACCACCTGACACGAGGACGCCGGCTCGCTGTCACGTGCGCAACTGACTCACTGCACGTGGGCCAGAGGAGCGCCGCGCGTGTTCACGCCGTCGAGGTGATCGCGCCAGGCAGACTGCGGGCTGGCCTTGACCCAGATTGCCTTTTTCAGAGGCACGGTCGTTTGACGAGGACTCGCTGGCATAACAGCACCCCCGCCGCCAGACAATGCACCGGAAAGACGAGCTGCTTCCACGGGGCTCGGATGTCAGGTGCGCTCGTTCGCCAGGTCCCTCCAGGTTCGCCTCCAGGGCCATGGGGAGACTACAGCTCCAGACTGTTCCGGGAACACATCCCATTTTGACGACGGATCCCAGCCCCACTGGCTTGTCGCCACAACTTGCTGATCAGCTTCACTCGTCTCTTCTGACCATCTTCGGTTTCAGCACTTGTCGATGGTTCTGCAACTTGCCAAGAACGGATCGACAACAGACAACACACGACACACGCAAGTGCCTTCGGTCACCCGACAGAACACCAGACAAAGTATAGTACAATATACACCTATCTACGTGTCTATCGGAATTTTGTTCCCTCTACATCAAGAGGCACATGTGGGACACAAGACTCTTAAAATGACAACTCATTTTTTTTTTCCACTTACAACAACGTAACGAATTAGAATACCACATAAAGTTGGCCCCTTGAGATCACTCTGAACGAGAGCGCTCAGCCCAGGTCGTGATGAGGTCAAAATTTTGCCCCGAATCGCCAGCGAGAAACCGAAAGGTTGAGAAGTTACTAGCTGGAACGCACTGCTCAATGCACCTGCATTAGCGTGTACCTTTCCCTTTTTTTTTTTTCTCTTTAGCGAACGTCAAAGTTGCGCTGTGGAGCAACATGCTCCACCTCAGTAACCGGCCACTTTTAGGCGACGATACCTATGCGGCACCAAGAGCGGCTCACACTTGCGACGTTGCACAGGGGAACAACGATACGGCTTGCTACTGATTGACTCCTCACCGCTTAGCTCGATATCGTGTTCGATCACCCTCATGTTTCCGGGGCGGTCCGAAAACACGTCTTCAAACTCGGAACCAATCTTTCTCAGGTCCTCTTTCTCAGGTCCTCCTTCACTTAAGCTAGGCTCTAGGTTTATCTGCTCCCAAATTACTTTCGATCCCCCTTCGATCACCTCACTAGAACTCAAATTTTCTGCTCCCTCTTCCTCTGAAGCCTTCAACAGCTGATTTACGACCGCTTGATGTTGAACATTGGGTTTCATCAAGTTGTAAATTTTGTTCTGCCGCCTTCCTACTTGCACCTCATAAGTTGTATCGCAAGGCTTCGATAATACTGTGGCGGGCCCTTCCCAATCAACCTCAAGCTTGTTCCTTTTGGGTGGCTGCCGCCGCATTACCTGATTATCAACTTCAAAAGCGCGCTTCTTCCCCGATTCCTCGTAGTGCTCCTTCGACAGCACTTTTGCCGCGTTTTTCTGGCTTTCCACGAGCGCTTCAATTTGGCTTTCCACTAGCGCTTCAATCGAGAGATCCTCACTCTGCCCTCGAATGAGCGTCTCTCGATCAACTCTCGGCAGCTCGCTCCAACTTTCCGCTACAGGCGAGAGCGTTGCAACCCTCTCGCTCTGACTCAATGGCGCCACGTCGTCTCCCCCAGCGCATACCGCGCCGGCCGCTCCCGCGACGGGCCGCTCGCGTGACTGCTCACATGACTCATGCGGAAAATTTCCTTTCTGGGGTTCCGTCGACCCGCCGACAAGGTCACTTGAGAGTTCACCGCATGGAACCAAGTCAAGCTTCCGCGAAAGCTTTCGCGCTTGCGATCGCGTGGGAGCCATGCACGCTAAGTTGGGGAAGAACGATTTGCCCTGCTCTTTGAGAAGCTGCTCCGAGTTGTTGGAGAAAAGATAAGAAAAACGACCATTCAGCGCGGCAGACACAGCCGCTTCGGTGCAAAGCTTACCGAACGGGCCTTCAATGACAACGGTGGCGATTGGTAAGCGAACACTCTGCTCCTCGGCGACTTGCCTGATCCACGCGCATTCTCCTGTGAAGTCATCCGGAGACACCAATGAAGGATGGACAACGTCCATGGTTGCCGCTGAGTCTCTAAGTGCTCGGCACGTTTTCTCATTGACCCTAATTTCTTGGAGATACGGCTCCAGCAACCGCATGTTTTTTCTGATTCTCGGATCGTTGCGAAGGCAAACTTTTCCTGACAGTTTCTCGCGATGTGCCCTTCCTTTTTACAGTTGTAGCAGATTAGCGGCTTCCGTTTGTTTTCCGATTCAAATGCCTGTGTGGTAGAAACCTCACTCGATTTCTCCGCTTCTGCTTGCCCTTCCCCTACACTGTCCTTAGTAAGAGATGGGTCCTTTTTGAAATTACGGTGCGGAACGGGTTTCCGTTGATCAGGTTTCCTTGAAAAGCCCTCTTTTCCTCTCATCTTTTTCAACGCGCACTGCCCTGCTATGCAACTTTCGGCGAGTATAATACTCCTCAGCTAACTCAGCTGCCTTATTTAACTGTACTTCCCCAAGTCTGTCCTGCAGCCAAAGTTTAACATCCTCCTCGATGCAGCGGTAGAATTGCTCCAATGCAACGCATTCCACCACTTTATCGCGGTCGTCATAAACACCTTCGCCCTTGAGCCATTCAATTAAATCGGCTTTAAGACGAAACGCGAAGTCAACGTGTGACTCATTCCCCTTTTCAGCATACCGGAACCTTTGCCTGAAAGCCTCGGGTGACAACTTATAACGTCTCAAGAGCACTTCCTTAACCTCGTCATAGCTCTCAAACGCTTCCCTAGACAAGCAAGTTATCGCGTCGGACACTTCACCGGGAAGAAGAGCTAGCAGGTTCCGCGCCCAAAGAGGCCGCTCCAAAGCGTTTCGCTCACAGACGTGTTCAAACTTGACGAGATACTTCGCCATGTCCTCGCCTACTACGAACGGTGGCAGTTGGTCCCGAATTCTAAAACCGCTGACCTGAATCGTCGGAGAAGCTACGCTAGGCGCCTGCGAACACTGTAGGATTGCCAATTCTAGTCGTTTCAACTCGAGACGCTCTTGTCTCTCGGCCTCCTCGCGCTCACGACGTTCGCGCCTTTCAACTTCTTCACGTTCGCGAGCTTCGCGCCTTTCAGCTTCTTCACGTTCGCGAGCTTCTACTTCTCGCCTTTCAGCCTCCTCGCGGCGTGCTTTGATATCCGCCCAGGCCTCATCGACTTCCTCCGCCGACACTCCCTCATCCTTCATGATCTCAAGGATCGCTTGCTTTCGTTTCGCACGGCCCAAAGTAATGCCGAGTTCCTCACAAATTTCGATGAGTTCCTTCACTTTAAGGTTCTCCATCGTTCACACTAGCCTCTCGCTGTTTGCCCCTGTTAAGAATTTACTTGCCGTACCCACTATAAGCCTACTAGCAAGACGCGCAAGCAATTTTTCACACTCCCGTGTTTACCACCTCCGCATTAACTTTGGTTTCAAAGCACTTCAACTTGGCTTGAAACGATCAAAGCTCACTTCAATGCTTCACACAGCCCTTTCTCTAAACTACTACAACCTGAGCTAGAGTAGTCTGGTGAACTGAGGGGAAAACATCAGGCACTCACCGCATCGATGTCGCTGACGCCGGCCGATCCCGCAGCTGCCAACCACTGTTGCGATCGACGGACCGATCCCACCGCTGCCACCACTGTTGCGAACGACGGACCGATCCCGCCGAAGCCACCACTGTTGCGAAAGACGGCGACGCCAACACGGTCCCGATGGCGCCCCTGCTTCCAACTCCGCCGGGAAGGTCACCAGCCGTTTGGTAGCGTATGTTTATCAGCTCGCGACTGCTTCTGCGCAGAGCTGATCAGACGAGCGGACGAGACGACGGTGAGTCAAACAAGGTTTATGTACAGCATATATACAGAGGCGTTACAATTTCGGCACTGGGGCCGACAGAGACTCGAAGAGCCGAGCTCTTCTCTCTAACACATAGTTAAGCCTTTCGCCTAAGACCGCTGACTCACACACATGTCGGCACTCCGACACGGGGACGCCTCTCACATAGGACCGCCGATCGCGACGCGCCGCAGGGCTTCTTTTATTTACACCGGGTCCAACCAAAATGTCCAATCAGAAGCGCCGCTGGTCGTCCGGGCAGATTCCGCCAATGGGGCCGCCGCGCCATGCGTCAGACCACCTGACACGAGGACGCCGGCTCGCTGTCACGTGCGCAACTGACTCACTGCACGTGGGCCAGAGGAGCGCCGCGCGTGTTCACGCCGTCGAGGTGATCGCGCCAGGCAGACTGCGGGCTGGCCTTGACCCAGATTGCCTTTTTCAGAGGCACGGTAGTTTGACGAGGACTCGCTGGCATAACACAATGTAGAGTTTGACGCCACAGAACAATACGTGTGCTTGCCGGGACCAGAAAACACATCCAAATTACCTCGTTTAACGAATTAACAGCTGTTAAATTACTGAGCTTTTGCTGTACGAGCAATGCTCCATGTTCCCCAGCCTGGCTGTTCAAGTGCAGGTCATTTGATCTGGTCCTGGGCTGTCTATTTCTCTCAAATTTCTGCAGAGTTCCTTGTTACTGTACCTCCTTATTGTAGATCCATAGCTGGTTGCCACCCATGCCGTGGCAGCGCAGGAGCTTGACAGGACCCCGGGGAGAAGAGGCGTCCAGGCAGTTGTCGTCAGACATGATCTGCTGCCGTTTGGTGTAGGCAAACACCTGGTTACCGCCCATGCCATGGCACTTGCTCACGGCCACATTCTCGCCGCTCTTGCGTCCAAAGGTGTCAAGGCAGTCCGAGGTATCGGCATGCTTGATCTGGCACATGCAAGGTGTTGGGGAAAAGAGTGAGCGAAATAAAAAAGATCGCAAAACTGCAATGCCTCATTGCCTTTTAACTGGAGAACATTTTCACATAAAAATACGGCGATTCAAAACTCAAGTGTATGCATGCCTCTGTGACAAGGGTGTGTGTGAAGCCACGTCACAGTATCGGTGTGGTTATTGATTTGGCCACTGGTGTTCTTTACTGGAGCAGAAACATGAATGCATGGATAGTTTTACCACTATAGATGCCACATTCAAGAATCTAGCTCATAAGTTTATGTTCATGCATCAATAAATTGAAGCAAGCTGTCCAAGCGAAAGCCACTGTGCCATGGGAACGGTAAAGGCTACTCAAGCTACAGATATTTCAGCTTTTACCCTGCTATCTTAATCATAAATGTACATCTTTCTTTGTTACAAATGAACAGGTGTGGTGAAAATAAACAAAATTTTAAATCTCAAAGAGTGGCAAGGACTGTGGAGTGTTCATCTGTTCCAGTGTGCATCCAAGCCCATACTGGCCTTTGGTAATTTAATGATGCTCATATTCTATGTATGGGCATGTCGAACACCTAATAGGCCATGAATAATAAGCTTTGCAGGCTCAGCTAAGGTTACTGCTTCTTTTGCACAAACTACACCAAAAATGTTTGCGATGATAGCATCAGCGCATGCAATTTACAAAGAAGTACACACAGCATCAAATACAACAAAGGCATCTGCGATAAGTATTGCTCAATAAACTACGCTGTAAGGTTACGTCTGGGAGAGTTCAGCAAAGCATTTCTATTGAACAAATGTGGACATTGCTACAGTATGTCCGAAACATTCGAAACAGGCATTTATCTGATTCGTTGGAGACTGTGGTAACGAATTACCACAGAAAAATGTGATTACCGATAGCTAGCTACTCACCTCACCAAGGTGATAGTAATCGAGGGGCATGTGTGACTCTGGATAAATGTTCTCCAAGTACCACCTGAAAGTGTTGCACTTAAGCTTGGTTCGGAGTTGTCTTCGGTACGAAAGGTCTCCTTTGTCGACATTTTTGGCCGCTGAAAACAGAAGAGAAAACAAGAGATGATGGGTCGGGCTTGTGACCTCGTCGTGCATCATGTAAATATTGGGCATGTGCATGGTCGTTGGCAGGATTTTCTCTTGAGGAGTGCCAACCAGTGTTGCATTGCAGTTCGCGGAGGGAGAGACCACTGGTGTGGCTTAAGTGAGGGCAAGTAGTGTTGAGGCTTGATAGAGGCAACTGCCCCTTTTGCACGTTCTGCTGATGCCCATTGGTATGTGTGAATATTCAATTTATTGATTGATATTTGAGGTATAACGCCCCAAGACCATCATATGATTATGAGAGATGCTGCAGTGGAGGGCTCCGGAAATTTCGACCACATGGGGTTCTTTAACGTGCACCCAAATCTGAGCACACGTGCCTATAGTGTGAATATTCCAGTGCTCCAAATATTCAAATGAATATTATAGTAGTATTTCAATTTGCTCCAAACGAAACCTAAACTATTCAAAAATAATGAACAAATACAAACACCCTGTAAAGGTGCTTCCACTGCAGTAGAGGAGTGCTATACAGTGAATACACCTACCGTAATTACTCGAATCTAATGCGCACCTTTTTTCCGGTTAAGAGAGTTCATAAATCACATGCGCGTTAGGATCGAGTACGAAAAAAAATGAATAGGCCATTCTATTGCCATCGCCATTTCCAAAATGGCCGCCCCCTACGTGCGTCGGCATGGCACGTTGGCCATTTCTGCCGATGTGTTTCCCATGTGCGGCACTTCGTACGTGTGCTGAGGAGTTCGTCATCTTGTAGTGCATTAGCATCGACGGCATAAAAGGGCCGACTCCCAAAACTCGACGAGTGCACCACGATGCCGCTTTTAAAAGAAAAGTCATCGCGTGTGCTGAAACAGACGAAAATCGGGTTGCATCGCGGTCGTTCCGAGTTCCCGAAACGTGCGTGCGGGGCTGGCGGAAACAAAAGCAGAAGATTGTTGACAGCAAAGATTCACGCAAAGGCTTCAGTGGACCACAGCAGGGTCGGTTTCCGCAAATTGAAGAGCTGCTCGGCGAGTATAATGCCACATTCCATTTCCCAAGTTTTGTATTCGTCCCAAAACACTACACAATTCCTCAGTGCAAACCGTGCCTACTGTTTTCGAGAAGCTTCCGGACTGTAGTCCGGAAGATCATTTCGGTAAGATCACGCCTACTCTGCGAACTGTACAGATTATTCTGGAACCTACGCTACCGCCAGCGATAACGCTAGAACATTCGACGCAATAGTATAAATGCCGACGCGCTTCGCCGCTTGTCAGTAGTTGATCGACGGCCGACGCTCTGTTCACTGCCATCTGTGCAAGACTGCTACTGTAATCCAACTTTCCATTTACCGGGCACAGGTTCGCCCAAATAAACAGTTAAATCCCAACATAAAGTCTCCTTTCTTCGGCCACGTCACGACCCCGTGACAATATGATTGAGCAGAGAGCGGCACAGCGGCCCGTGACGACAGAACTGCTCCAAGTGCAGGCTATGCAGTTAGCCTTAGAAAAAGGGCTAATGCGGAGCCAGTTTAAAGTGAGCAGGTGCTGGCTAACTAACTTTTTGAAGAGGAAAGGCTTTTCCCTCCGAAGGCGAACAGGCATACGCAAAAAGTTTCCGGAGGAGTACGATGAAAAGCTTCGCAGTTTTCAGAGGTTCGTCCTCAACTTGCGGCACAACAACGGCTACCTGCTTGGGCAAATCGGAAATGCCGATCAGACGTCTCTTTACTTCGACATGCCCGGCACCACAACCGTCGAGAAGAAGGGGGCGAAGCAAGTTCGTGTGCTAACATTGGGCCACGGTAAAACTAGAGTGACGGCAATGCTCCGTTGCACGTCAGATAGGTACAAGCTTCCCCCGTACCTCATATTTAAATGGAAGACGCTCCCAAAAGGAGTCGTTTTTTCGAGTGGTGTGATCATGCGGGCCAGCGAGAAAAAATGGGTGCGCGTTGCAATCGATGTCTTACATTTTTTTTTTCCGTCGTGGAAACCGGGTGCGCGTTACAATTGAGCGCGCAGTAGAATCGAGTAAATATGGTATCTGAAAAAAATCCACACTGCCGCGAAGCTCCGCTTGACGGTTAAATGGACATATTAGCCTCACCTCGAATCATCTCTTTGAAAGCTTAAAAGCTTGTTATACCATTTCATACACTTTACGTACAGTGAATTCTAAAAGGTAACACAATTTACAGGTTATCACTTGTGTTCTACTGAAAGTCAAATCGTGCTGCCATTCACAGTTGCTTCCACTTCCCTTTGAACCAAACAGAATGAAATTTGCACATGGCCTTGCTTCACATATAAATAATATTGCTTGGGAAATGACAAATATGCTCATTTTTCTTTATAATGTGTGATATATACTATTAGAACTTGATTAAAAATTTTTCAACCAAGTCACATATAATTCACTATTTGCATATGCCTAGTAAATATGAATGAAGGAAGGAAATTTTGGGAGTTCATTTCTTTGTTTTACACAACCTCTATGGAAACCAGCAGACAATGATGCCAAAAAAAAGTACTGTAGACTCTCAGTAAACGAAACTCTCTTAAAATTAAATTGCTGCTTAAGTGGATCCAGCTGCCTCTAGTATGACTGGTTTTGTACTTGAATTCTACACTCTTGTTTATATCTCAGCAAACAAAACTCTTGTTTAACGAAATACACTTCCTTGGTCCCTTCAGGTTTTGTTAACAAGAGTGTATGTGGGACATCATGCAGTTGTTAGATTTGTGGGGTTTAACGTCCCAAAATCACCATATGATTATGAGAGACGCCGTAGTGGAGGGCTCCGGAAATTTTGACCACCTGGGGTTTTTTAACGTGCACCCAGATCTGAGTACACGGGCCTACAACATTTCCGCCTCCATCGGAAATGCAGCCGTCGCAGCCGGAATTTGAACCCGCGACCTGCGGGTCAGCAGCCGAGTACCTTAGCCACTAGACCAACGTGGCGGGGCAGTGAGTGAGTGAGTGAGTGGAGTGGAGTGAGGTACGCGTCACAGTTAGTCCCCATAACAGGATGAATCAGGCCCGAGTCATAATTTGCGCACTTATCAGACGCAAGTGAACCTCTCTACGTAACAAGACCCGACCGGTATACTAAGGTTCCTGAAGCAAAAATAAGCACGCATATACGTGCAGCAGCTAAAGCGGTCAGAAACGCGAAGCGAGGCGCACTCCCGCAATCACGGGGTGTCTACTTTTCCCATTGCGCCACACTCTTCAAACGCACGTCGACCCGTCAGTTCAGGCACGGGTATGCGGCGGGGTGAACACGTGTTAGCATCACGTCACCACCCATCGCGCTTCCTGCAGTTGCGAGCAGCGTTCAATAGAGACGCGTGTCTACTACGGCTTGCCAGCGGCCCAGCCTATGACAGAAAGGATGATGTTGGGCAAGTAGTAAACAACGGACGCGGAACACGCTTATGGCGTGCAGCCCGCGACGAGGTAAGCACCCGAGCCGTTACTCCGCACGCGAACTGATAAGCGCAAATTCCTCGTGGCAATGACGCCGCGTACTGCACCTAACTGGTATCGTGCGAACGAAAAGAAAAAGTGTGCAGTAAACGGAACTGGCACGCATATGCATACGAGACGTGGCCGTCACGACCGACCACAGCGTATACGGGAAGGAAGTCTCGCGCACGCCAGAAAAGTCTGTGGGCGGCTAAGCGTAGAGAGAGAAGACACGAAAAGAGGAGGCACGGATCAAAAAGAAAGAGGCGGCCTCGAGAAGGTAAGCAAAGATAAAAGGAAAACAAACACGAGCGCCATGGGCCGAGGCCGAAGTGAAACAAGAGGGAGATGTGCAGGAAGATCTCCCGGAAGGTCGTTTCCACCAGGCATCGTGGCTCCTGCAGCAGCAGCAGCAGCAGCAGCAGCGGCGGGCAAAATGCAGCCGTGCGTGCATGAAGCAGCATATAACTTCTCGTCTCGCATCCGGCCACCCCCCCCCCCCCCCTGGACACAAGTGCGAGAGGGTGTAGGTGTGTTCGTGGCGCGTTCTATGACCTCAGCGACGAGAACGAATCGGAATAATAATAAAAAAAAACGACGACGGGAAACAACGTACCCCTCTCCCGGGCCGAAAATACTGCGGGTGCAGCACTAACTGGTGCTGCCGAGGTAACTGGTAACTTAGGTTATACGCAGGAAACTTAGCATCCACCACGGGAAGACAGGCCGGAAGGAAGCGTACCAGTAGCCTAGGAGAAAATGCTACAGTGTCAGATAGACTGTGAGTGCGGTAGACTGTAGGGATTCAAAACGCTTGATAACCTCACGGTTATGACGTCGAACCACGAAGTTCAAAGACGCGGGTCCGACTCAGCGTCACATTTATTCAAGGCGATCAACGCAAGAAAACCCGTAGGTACTGGACCTGACGGACGATGTAGTTCAGCGAATTTTGACCGCCAAGCAGTCAAAATTCATCCGTAGTCCACCACAAAACGGCGTGCCTCGTAGTAACGCGATTTCGGTACTTAGAACCTCCGATTTCAATTCCATTCGATTCATATTTGCAAGTACAAAACGTTGAAATCGACCGCGCCCTCGCATCCTTGACTATAAGTCTCTAATTTCGCTTGCTACAAAAAGTGAAAAAAAAAAATCAAAGAACACTGAGTAAGAGCTAACTGTAGCGTTAATGCCACTGTCATATTCATCAGTCTGACAACTCCTACTGCTGGACAAAGACCTCTAGCATGTTCCTCCAATTAACTCAGTCCTGTGCTTACTGCGGACTACGTTATACCCTGCGTGTCATCATGTCCAACTAGCTTTCCACCTTTGTACGCATCTCTTCTCTCGCCATTAAACCTGTTTAGAAAATTTTATTGTCACAGACGTCAATAACATTTCAACAGAACGTATTTTTCTTAGACTTACAATAACGAGGGTAACAAAACAAAATTAATTTGTGGGGTTTAACCTCCCAAAATCACCATATGATTATGAGAGACGCCGTAGTGGAGGGCTCCGGAAATTTTGACCACCTGGGGTTTTTTAACGTGCACCCAAATCTGAGTACACGGGCCTACAACATTTCCGCCTCCATCGGAAATGCAGCCGTCGCAGCCGGAATTTGAACCCGCGACCTGCGGGTCAGCAGCAGAGTACCATAGCCACTAGACCACCGCGGCGGGGCCATCATGCAGTTGTACTGCTTTAGGTACACAGATGTGAAAAAAGTTAAGTGGACAAAAATACGCTGCCGGCAGAGACTGAACCTGCAACTTCTGAATTGTGTACCAGATGCTCTTACCAAATAAGCTACAGTGGAGGCCATCCCCCGGTCCACATGAATCCTACATAAAACGCAGACCATTTGGGGCTAGCTAGGTCTACTATGTGATTTCTTATGATTCTGGCTAAAGGCATAGTTCAGATTGGAGGCATAGTTCGAGTCCTAAACTATCATTGGTAAAACATCAGTGGTAGAACACTTCTTAACTATACTACTTATAAGAGCTGTTACAGCATTTTGTTATAGCTTTGTCCCTCAACACCACTGTAACTGCTTAAAATAATTAAAAATATCGCACTACACTCAGCTTCTCGTAATCCAGTCACCATAATGCAATTTTTGGTGAAATAAAAGTGCTGGTTGCATGTTTTTTGCATGTAATCAATCTTATAGCAAACAAAATTGATCAATAATTTAAAGCTATGCGCCCATAATACCGAATTAACAAAACTTTTTTCGGAAAAGAGAGACTGAAAGTGACAGTCGCCATTTTGTTGCGTACAAATTAAAGTAAATAAAATTCATAATGTTTCCTGTGCCAAGATTGGCCCCTGTATCGCAATGATGTCACAGCCATCACAGCAGCCCATAATGCCACAGCTAGTGAAGCGCCAATATTGTTTAGACCAGGATTTCATGAGAAGTCAGCGACACACTTTAACCGTGCTTATTTTCATCCCTCGAGTTTGACAGCAGTCAGCAGAATGTTGAATTTGTTCTCCCTTAGATTTCAAGTGTACATGCACGTTTGGCATATCACTGTTACTCCTGGTTCCTACCACATGCCTAACCTGGCGACAAAAGTGCAAGGTTATATATAGGCTTCTGTGAACTTCACGTTAACAGTGGTCTGATGAAGAAGTGCACTAGAAGTCTGCCTCATAGACAAACCTGGGTTGATAGCAAAGTAAAAGTCCTTCCACTCGTCAAGCCACACTTCGGCCAGGCGGGCATTGTTGTGGTTGACAATGCGGCTAGTCCCGCCGGGAAACGAGTACGGTGTTGACTTTCTGAAGACGTGGCCCACGTGTGAGCATGGCACTATTTCCAGCTCTCCACCGCACATCCATATCTGAAACAGAAGGAGGCATGTGTGTCAGCAACTTCACCTTCATAAGTAAGGATATTTATCCTAATAAAACACTGAAATCCATTAAAAACCTAGTCTTGTTACAACTTGACAACCGCAGAAAGCTGACTAGTTCCAGCTGAATGAACAGCACAGCAATTTACACAAGCAAAGAGCATTAAATTGTGACACTTCAGAGACCACAATCTCTTCAGAACTGAACCTGTGTAACAAAAATCTAATTTTACTGCGCTTACAGTCGAGCCCGACTATATCGAACCCGTTTATATCAAATTATCCCGTATATCGAACAATTCCTAAACACGGTAAATTTACATTTAGAATATATAGCAAAAGTTACTGTTTTATCAAACGAAAATAGCAACGACAACTGATATATCAAACTCCATGTGCCTCAAAAGTTCCCCAGCAAGTTGGCTTTCCCTCGCGGTGGCGGGAAAAACTGCGGCGCCACTCTAGAAAAAGTTGGTTAGACCCGGTTGTTCGCGGGCGAAAACCCCCCTCTAAGAAATTATCCTGGCCCGCTCGCAGCGCTTACAGCCAATCAGAGGCCGTCGTGCTTTCTCCCAGGCGCGGAGGCAGTAGAAGTAAGCGCCATTTTTTCTTTCTTTATGCTTGTGTGCCTGCTGCTTCCGATTCAGCGTGGTCTGTGGTGTTGCCTGTTAGTGCTCTGTGAGCTGTATTGGCGCACTGTCATCATGGCTTGCGCAAAGAGGCAAAATTTGCTGTTCGCCGCGGAACTCGAAATCATCAATCGGGTCGAGCGTGGTGAAAAGAAGTCCGACGTCGCCGCCGCGTACAAAATTCCAAGGAGCACCTTGAGTACTATACTGAAGAACAAGGCAGACATCAGGGCCAAGTCGGACAAAAGGCCAGGTGCCCGAGAAGCCCCACGTGTGCGCGCTGCTGTGTACGTAGATGTTGAAGCGGCTGTTTACAAGTGGTTTGTGGACGTTCGGTCGCGAAACATCCCGGTGTCCGGCCCTATGATCGAGCAGAAAGCCAAGGACCTTGCTTTTCCGCTTGGCAGGAATGATTTCCAAGGCGGTTCAGGCTGGCTTCAGTAGTTCAAAGAACGGCACGACATTGTTGGCAAAGCTGTTACAGGTGAAAGCAGAGCGGCGGACCTGAGCAGCGTAGAAAAATGGCTCGAGGAAAACTGGCGAGATATTGCAGCAAGATATAGAGCCCAAGATATCTTCAATGCGGATGAAATCGCTCTATTTTGGCAAATGTTGCCAAACAAGACACTTGCATGTTGTGGCGACAAGACAAGCAGCGGCAAGGCAAACAAAGCTTGTGTGTCCGTGCTGTTGGCAGCTAATTTAGACGGATCGAAAAAGCTTCGAACTCTGGTTATCGGGAAAAACACGGCACCGCGGTGTTTTCGAAATGCGCGGTCCCTTCCAGTTACCTAAGGAGCAAACTCAAAAGCATGGATGGCCGGGAAGCTTTTCAGCAGATGGCTATCGTCGTGGAATGATGATTTGGTAGGCGAAAATCGCAAGGTGTGCCTGCTCGTGGACAATTGTTCATCGCACCACTGCAGTACGACCTTCAGCAACATCGAGCTGCATTTTTTTGCTCCCGAACACTACGTCTGTACTGCAACCACTGGATCAAGGCGTTACACGCGCAATGAAAGCCGGCTATCGGAAGCGCCTGGTGGAGAGGCTGCTGCAGAACCTTCGTGTCGGCAGGGAGCTTAAGATCGACTTGCTCAGAGCTATTTCTATGTTGAGTAGATCGTGGGCAGATGTCAAGAAGGAGACAATCCAGAACTGCTTTAGGCATGCTGGCTTCCGCATGCCTGGTGATGACACCCCAAATTCTGACAGCACTGAAGACACCGCAGGTGTTTCCGCCGAAGTTTGGAACGAGCTGGCAGAGTTCCCGGGCGCTATCAACGGATCGACATTCGACGAGTTCGTCAGTGCGGACGATGATGTCCCTATCATGGGCCAATTACACAATGAGGATTAAATTGCAGACGTCGTGCCGACCATGAGCCAAAGCGACAGCAATATGGAAATCGACGACGGCCCATTGCCTACATCCTCTGAAGTGATTAGTGCACTTGCATTGGTCCGGCGCTATCGCTTGAATGTGGAAGGTTGCGGCCTCAGCTGCCCTGACTCGTTGGACAACATGGAGGCGTGCGTGCTGTTGCGAAGTCGTTGACACAGAAAAAAATCCGGGAGTATTTTGTTCCACAGTAGGGCACGCAAGTAAGCCACGATATTAATAAAGTACTTTTCTTGTAATTTGTTATGTGCCTTTGAGTTAAAATCTATACCGGGCCTATATCGAATTATGCCATATATCGAACTAATAAACGTTTTTTGGCGAGTTCGATATACTCGGGTTCGACTGTATACTACTTTTAAAACTGAAATCACCGAAGTGTCGCTATGCAAAAACATGCATAAATGAATGCCCCAAGCTTTGACGGTGTGCATCAAAGCACTCTGCGCACAAAAGCATGGCCTCGCCAGTTCTGACACTGCCCTCCCAATATCTTTCTCATTCCCCGGCCAATCTATAGTTGAACTGTATAGCTGAAGAATGCATCTGTTTGGTACGTACGTTACTGCTTCCACTGACTGAAATACAACATCATTTTTTAGTCTAGCACCTACCATGAGTATTCGTGCATTGTAACAGCGTCATGTTAATGTAAATGTGGCTGTGAAAGATTATGTTGACCCCGAGGAATGTGTTTGAGTAAAACTACACTGATACAACCCAAACTGTAGATGCTGGAAACAAAAGTACATGCATTACTTGGCCCTAAAATTTTTCAATTCAATATATGAGTAGTGTACATATAGAAAATATTGCCAAGTGGTGCATCTGTTTTGGTTTACGTAAAAAGCGGTTCAAGGCCTGTAATTGATGGACCTGCTACACAACACAAATTCTTTAAAACAATTATCTGCCACATGTAAGTTGTTAATCTAGCTAACACCTGTTTCTTTTTCTTTTCAGCAAAGATTTCTTTCGGCTGGGTGACAAAGTTTCATTGATTATGATCTTAAACCCCACACTTATTCACTGGTCTAGAAATGCTGCCATAGTTTCTTGCATACAACCCAACCCTGCATATCAACCGCACCATAGTAACAACCTACGTAACATTGTTTTTCAAAAGGCCCTAGCAATTAAGTAACCATCGAACAACTTCATTAAATTAGCTTATTGCCTCAAACCGACCGCCACAAAGCTTTTTAGAATCGGTCAAGTGCGAGCAGAGTTGCAGGGATTTGTTGCATACTTTAACTGCTCTCGCACCAGGTGAGTGTGCTGAAAGATATGTGGGTTTTAGTGGCGCAAGGGCTATGCTTGGCCAAAGAGTGCAATAAAGAGATGCTGAAAGATAGGCAGAGGAGGATGACAAGGGGGCGAGAAGCTATATCTATTTGTCAGTGCATGTCGTGACTTTGAGCGCATTTTCTTCTCTTTTTTTCTTCTTCGAATGTGTCGCTTACTTACAATACGATTGCAATGATGTGCGCGGGCACGTCACAGCACCTCACAGCAGCTGAGGCAGCTATGGAACCCTCAATGCTCAAAGCAGCCAATGGCTGATCGTAGGCTTATGACGCGTCATTTTGCACTATTGAATCACTTGTCAAGACAAGAGTAAGCAATTTCTAGCTGACTTGAGAATTTATTGTGAATTCAAGGCAGCGCACTGTGCTATAATGTTTGGTTGACATGTTCTCGAGAGTCTCGACTACCGATCAACAGTGCTTTCTGACGACGCTCAGAAAGTGTTGCAGCGCCCCTTTAATATCAGTGTGTGTTGCTGTGCGACCAGCCTTTTTGCATTGCTGTAAAGAATTGCAGTAAAGCTACTTTTTGTGCTGAAATTCACATATAATTTGCAATTCTACCTTAGCTATGAATTTTCAGTATCCTTCGCATGGGTTATATGCGAGAAGATATTGGATATTGCACTGCTGCGAAGAAGGTACTTCTATAAGCGCGCATGGATGCCTGGCATAATGGATAGGATTGTCAAGCCAATGTGAGCTGTAGGCATTAGTAAGACGCGCACATCTCACCCTAAACGAAAGTTCGAGGTTCTCGCCTCCCCAAATGTCCATGCCTTCATCGTACTTTCCCAGCTCATTGAAGTAGTCCTTGTCGATTGAAAAAAGGCCTCCTGCCATGGTAGGTGTCCTGCGTATTATAACAATAAGCAAATTAATGTCAGTCATGCAGAGAATAAAGAACTCTCCAAACCAGCAAATTATCCAACTTACACTGTAAGGTTCGTTGTCCAGAAATTGTAGAGTTGTTTTTGAAGAACATTAAAGTGGAAGGCTCTAAATGAGTTTCGACCGCCTACCATTCTTTATATAAGCCAAAAGCACGAAACATGGGTGTCTGAATTTTCGGCACCATTGTAACGCAACCGCTGCGGGCAAGATTAGAAACCATGACCTAAGACTCAACAGAAGCACACCACAGCCATTGATCGAATATAGTGGGTCTCGATTATCCCAATTCTGAACCCATTTTTTAAATAATTAACCTCAGCCAATTTCCACTGCAGGACCAAAGTTTCTTCAGACAATCTCCAATTTACACAAACCTGCGTGAGCTGATTATAACTGTGTTGTAGTAAGTTGGAATAGATACTGTATAAACAGAACACAAATGGATTGTATAAGCTAATTTTAACAGAAGTTATAGCATTTTGAACTTCCATGAGTGAAATCCTACATTGACAGAGACTTACTTGTGGAAGTTTACATGCCATAACACTGTGTTTATAGTTTGTCCTTCTGTGCTATCGTTTTTTCGCACACAACTGTTAGGATACCAGAGCATCTGCTCTAATGTGTTTAAAACATCAATTCTTGTTTCGCATATTCCACTCTGCTGCGAATTATGATGCACTGCTACGACATTGCCGAATTCACAAAGCATACTTTCAAGGCACTCAGCATTACATTCCAAGAAAGAAAATGAACGAATGTGTTGTTTTATGTGAGTGTCAGTAATTTGTAACTAGTTGTAGCTAGAATGTTACTAGATATGTACTTCATTATTCTCCAGAAAGGTATGTTTCATTTTGACACAAGCAACAATGAAAGAAATACTTTCAATGTTGCTTCTGTAACGCGGCCCGGCGAACAAACCACTGAGCATCAAAGTGCGTCCACCAAAGTGATCGGCCACAGTTGTATGCAGCACACTAAGGTTAAGAAGTACTGACTCTGCAGAAAATTCAGTTCGTTGAATGAGCAATGTTTCTTGCTTTCTTTTGTCTACGAGTTGACTCAAGTGACATAGACAAGTTGCGTACAAAAACATACCCGTTGCCCCTGGAGGGCATATGATTCTCATTCCAGATCATTTTGACCTATTGAATAGCTCTGCAACTCTTATAGTTAAAAAAAAATCCTGCTGCTAACAATACAGAAATTATTTGATGTCTTAAAAAGTATATACTGTGTAGCCAAAAAATATTTGCACATTTAAATTTGGCACAGAAAAACACATACGCACTGAATGTTTCGTGAAATCTCAGTGAAAAAAAAACGTGTTTGCAAAAAAGGGTCTCCCCTTAATTAATCGCTTTGTTGGCTGCTGATAAAGATCACTTTTCAGTCAGCATTACTGGGTCTTCTCTGTTGTAATAAAATCACACTGTGTGCAGCAATAGGTCCTGCTTTAGCTAATGCCTCAGAATGTGCAATAAGCTAGTTCTGCTTTTATAGAAGCAATAAATAAAGAAAAGGTTCGCATGTTGCATTAAGTGGTGTAAGGATGAATCACAGCGGAGATTGTGGTTTTCGAGGCAGTGCCAGCTTCTGCAGATTTTCACATACTCTTCAGGAAAGCGAGTAGGAATGTAGATCATGGCTCAGCTCTTCTCTAACATATGAAGTGGTTATTGGTTATGTATCAATCAGTATGAATTGGCCATCAATTTTGTATTGATTGACAGGATGAGCTTAAGGACACTGGACTATGATCATAGGCTTATCCGAGGGCTTAACAAGGCTTCATCTTGTATTAATCAATTATCGAGTGGTATTGATTGTTTACCGATCATTGTATCAGTCATTTAATTGCAAACCAATCACTGCAAATATCACTGCACCTTTTGTTTGAGATGATGTTGCAACTAGAGCAGTGACATACCTGATGGGTAGTGTGCGATCTCCGCCTCTTCGTTCAACCTCTCGCTGTGGCACACGGTACCAACGAAAGTTGAGCTTCCAGTTGAAGCCACCCCAGGTCATGTCTGAAGCGGAGATGTACTCAAATGTTTCATCGCTGATCACGTCAATCACGGGGCACACGACTCGAGTCCTGTGAGAGAGAGAAGGTGAAAGGTTAAGATTAGTTTATGCTTGATACACAGACTGCGCCTTACTCATGCTGTTGGTCAAGATGATACCATGCCAGACGCAAATGCAAATATAATCAGCACCAAATGCTGGTGGTTTTTCGTACAAGAGCAAGATATGAAACTCCTGAATTATTGCTAGATATTAACTGATTGCTTTACGGCATTTGAGAAATACTTCCATCCTCAAAGAAGATCATAAAAAAAGTGGATTTCATGTACTAAAACACCACGAAACAATGTCACAAGAAATACTTGTACAAACAGGCATACAGATTTCTGTAAAGGCAGTAATAACAGTTTGTATCAGATGGCACACAAGTACATTGGGAATAAGTACATCAGATAATCAATTCATTGTAAATATGATCAGAAAGTTTAATTAGAGTATACCACGGCACAATACTATTATTCTTGCAGTTTGAACTATCTGCACCAAATGAAACCTGAACAGTGGCAAGCCTTCATGATAGTGTAGTGCACACCGTCTACTTATCACCATGAACAGGCACCCATACATGTGCAGAGCTGCCGAACAGAATGCATGGCAGCCTGTCTATCATGATAACTGATTTGACGTTGATAGTAAATCTATTTCTATAGCAAATAACTTTCACTGACAAAATACAGGACAGACGCTTCATTGTAGAAATGTGCTTCTTTGACACACAGCAAGTTTGTGACAAAACTCAGGCAAATTTTGATAATTCCACTGACTTCAAATAAATTATACCTTGGCCGACCAACTGTATTTCTTTAGATTTGAACATAAAAAATAGTCAACAAGCATTTCAGGTAATTCAATGCTTCAGATTTTCCAGAACAGATTAAAGAAACAATGTAGATGATTTTTGTAAAGCAAATATTCAAATCATCACGACATGTGGTGATTAGGTACTGTGTGGTATTTTAAATAAAAGAATAAGATGTCGCAAGTGAGACAGTCACTGCAAAAATAATGACAATGTATGTCTCATTTCCTATTGCCGAAACACATGTGCGTATGTACCGGTACATATGTAACACTCGCTTAAGAGACGATACCTTAATAAACTTTTGAAAAACTCAATCTTTAAATAAGTGAAAGATGTTCCTAAAATGTTATAATGACACCAATTAGATTACTTGTCACATTGCCAGTGGGTGCAAACCTTCTTAATCCATAAATTTTTCATTCTCAAAATAGTACGAAGAGGATGCAGCATTTGTCAAGATTCTCACTATACAGTTCCATTTTCCTCAAAGCCAATAATTCACAGTGCAATGATAGTGAACCCACAGTCATGCCAGTCAACGAGTCCTGTCCAAAAAAGTAAACAGAAGTCTTGTGAAAGCTTTGCTCGTCTTTCTTGTAGCTAGCTCTTACTTCACTTGTAGTTTGTGAAACGTGACACAGCAATCTTGGGCCACTAGCATTTTGTGTGTGTTGATGTATTGTTAATTAGTTTTAATTTATCACAACCAACATGCTTGAGCGCTAATCCACAGAAAGCGATAGCAGTTTATGAGAAGTCAGCTTCACCACAATTATTGCACCATACACAGTGGCAAATTCTACATAAGATTGAAATAAGCATGGCTGATCGACCCCTTAAATTTCTCTCGAAATTTTATATATTGTTGCCTGATGAGAGAAAAGAAGGGGTCTACAATTGGTTTTGCCGTAAAAGTTTTTTTTTGAAGTGCAGTAAATCAATAATCATGAAGAGATGAAGTGCCATGCTTATCTGCTCTGCTGTTATTTTGAATTTGATAATGAATGAGAGAAAATTTATTATAGCTAGGTACTTAAAAATTGTTTAGCTAAATATGAGCGTATTTAGCATACTTGGGCTCACCGTCAGTGCGGGTATCTTTATAAAGAATCTCAAAATCGACAGAAAGAACGTTTTTTGCCTACTTTGCAGGCCTTTATTTCAAAAATGGCTTACGATAGAGCAGTGGAAATTCCGCACTACTTTTTCAGCATGCTTATTTATAAAACTGCCAAAGTTTATATCAATAACACTTTTAAATAAGAAGATTAAATCAGGCTGACTTCAAGACAGCAGCATGCAAAAAAAAAAAAAAACTTCTGACGACGATTAAAAAAATTTTTTTGAAAATTTTTGCACTTCGCCCATTTATTCTCTTGCACATCAGCTTTTCCAATCATTAAAACATGTTGCATAATGTAGTTTCACTTGCAGTTACGGCCCGTCAAATAATGCCCTTGCGCATAGACGGGCAATTGTAGATGGACTTCCTGCCCGCTAAATGAAATGCAAGTGTATACTTCAATTTGTTAAAAAACAAGCAACACTGAAATAGCTGTCGGCTGCAGTGAGGACTCCAATTTCGAATTATTCGGTCACGAGAGCGGCCATGAGTGCTGAATCAATGAGCAAGCGCGGACAGTCTGGCTCAAGTAGTTGAGTCTATTCGAGAGCTAATGAGAGTACCTGTGATAATTCAGAACTTTTTATCACCTGAGTATGAAAGATGTGTTTCAACGGCCAGCAGATTATAGACAACAGACGTTTGTGCTTACAGCCTTCATGGCGCCAGCTGCCTATTGCTTTGTTCCCTCTCATGGCCACGTGACAACACATATTTCTTTGTGTTTGTAGAGATAGAGGAAGTTTAATCTCTATACCTGCTACTTGAAATATGCGTGTGTAACTACACACGTGCACAAGAAGACAGGAACAAGCGCCTGCCTTTTTGTGTACATGTTAATATCAAGAATCCTCAACACACCCGATCGGCCATTCCGACAAGTTCCATACCTGTCCTCGGCAATGCGTGCCAGCAGTGGTTCCAGCCAATGCTGTGTGCACTCGCAGTGGGCGTCCAGGAAAGTGATGACTTGGCCTTTAACTGCTGCCGCTCCCAGGAGTCTGGCACGTATAAGGCCTGAGCGCTTTCCCGTCCGCATGACCTAAACCACGAAAAACTTCGATATCAGTTTTTTGCGCGCTAGCTCAATACAACAGTTTTGCAATGTTTTTATTTTGCAGTATTGTCTTTAAACAGCATTTTAAAAAATTTAACAAAAGTGACCGTTCCGGCCAATAGTCACTGAATGAATAAATAAACTTTAGTATTATGAGATACAGCACATTTGTAGCCCGAGATAGACCACACAGGCAGACACTAGGAAACTGTCTCTCTGTAGCTGAATAGTACTTTTTTGGTAGTTGCTAGCGCTGCTCATCCCAATACTTGCTTGAAGTTATCTTTTTCAGCAGTGACCGTGACTTTGTAGGAATAATGGAATTGCATCGTGAGACTGTGCACAGCTTGAAATTGTTTACATGCACCGTTGAAAGATGTCGAAGTCGAAAAATAACAGCGGCAAGTGCCTGAAATTTGTAAACAGTAATCCTAGCTGCTCTCCTGAAATATTTTAAAATTATTTACACATTGAGATAAAACTTGCTGAGTTTATTTATATTTTTGTGCAGATTTCAAATATGCAATTATTTTTGTGATATATGTGAATTTTTCAAAATGTCAATCATTTCATGTGCTTTTTGGGAAGCATCGTTTGCCTAATCTGAGAAAGTTTCAAAGTAATTCAGTATGTCAGAATGATCTGAAATGAGTACAGTATGCAAGAAAACAAGAATCGATTTTCGAAACCTATTCAAACAAAAGTTTAGACATGTTGAAGAATTGCAAATAAGTCTCTGCAAAACTGGAAGTTCAGTCACAAATATTCAACATTCCAGAAATTTTGTTCAAATGAGCTTAGAACACCGATTCTCGTTTTCTTGCACTCCGCACTCATTCCAGGTTTCCGATGTGCTTGTTTACTTTGTAACTCTCTCAGTATGGTGCACAGCATAACACCCGGAATTTAAAAACTACATTAACAGAAAATAAATTGCACATTTGAAATCAGGACACAGACATACATAAACTCATCGAGTTTCATAGAAATCGATAAAAAGTTTTTAAAAAGTTCTCGGGCACAGTGTCGCCCCTTCAACTTAACATAGTGAGGCATGCAAGTAAAGGGCTTCCGAATATAGCAAATCTTTGGACAATGTAGAATGTTCTATTACAAGGACTGAACTGCATGTAACAATGGTGAACAAAGCATACAGTTTCACTGAACAAATTTAACGGATACAAACACAAAAGTTTAGATGTTTTCTTGCCTAAAATGACCGACCAGGCCTTCAAAAGCCTGCTAAGAGCACTGGCAACTGCGAGCCTGCCCCAGAAAAATTGTAACTTGTTCTTTGGAAACTAGTTCCAGTTGCTACAGTACTTTGATGTCACTACATGATACATACTACTATTTGCTTGCAAATGATATAATGACGTTTCTATAGCCACACCGCTTCATGGCTCTGTTGATGACGCACGACAACTGACCATGCCGGTGTATGAAGTTACCAGAGTTGGCACTGTAGCATGATGTCACACTAGTGTCAATGTCGGTAAGCGTGCCAAGCAAAAATTTACTTCAATGGCAAAATAAAATATCTTGGTGTTTTCTTAGCTTTACATTTGTCCAGACCTCTCTCTGTATACAGGATATTTGTATGGCGAAGTAAAATCGGCTTTGAAAATTTATGCCACTACCCTTCTAAGTTTTGTTTTGTATTTTTTTATATCATGATGGTTCATTTGCTTACAGTAACTCAGAAACCTGCACACAAAATATAGATATTGTATTATGAAATGAGTTTGTTGTTTGGGCTAATATACATTGTTCAAAATTTTTTGAAAATGAAGATGAAGAGATTTTTTTTACGTACCTTGACAGGCACTTCGAGCTTGACAACATAGTCTTCAAGCTTCTTTCCCAGATGTTCTGCAAAAGATGGTATAGTTATATTCAGTAACATTACCCACCCTTTTGAACTGGTCTGTGGCCAAAAGTACGTTTAAAACAGAGCGAAATCTACGAGCAAATAAAAGATTTTACAAGTAGCAACAATCGACAAAATGATGCATTAGAAGAGACACGGCTCTACTAATGATCATCCTAGTGTAGCACAAATACACAAATTTTAAGTCTCCACTTCTTTGTATTTTAGTATATGCATCTACAACAATAAACAAAACCCAACCTAGCCAACAGGGGGGCCCTCTTCCAGAGTATTCCATTACTATTATTAGTTTCTTGCTAATTTATAACTATCATCTGTTCTTAATATAACGAAAAACTTTCAACTACACTACAAACAATTTTCTTTCACTGTACACACCTTCCTTCATTGTACGCATCTCTTCACTGCCCAAATTACTTCAAATTTGATGAATAACAAACTAGAAGCTTTTCCTTCAAGTTTTGCCTTCTTACATAATTAGACAACAATATTCTACTTATAGTCGGATACAACTTCAGAAGTCAGAAGAGGCTCTGCCCAGATGACTGAAGCGCAACAGCTGATCCCCTCTGCAAGTAACAGAATAGTTCCACACCGTGCACTCGGCAATGTTATTTGAAAGCGGAGTCAGTGGCCGTCTGACTCACAACATCAGTCTCAAGTGCGCGTCCATTGGTGTAGACTTGTATGCCTCCACCTTCGAAGAGGGAAATGCCGCTGACTTCTAATGATTTATCCGACTATAAAAATGCTTGTGCTTTAGCAGCGTGCAGCTCTAGATTCTGGCGTTGGTGGTGTTTAGCCTCTGCTCGGGCATCTCGTTTAGCAGCAGACCACAAACTTAAGTGAGTTATGTTGCTCATTGTGCACAGCTTATACTAACCCTTTAATGCCTGAATTATGAGACTGCCAAAGAAAAGAAACTTCATTTTCCTTTTCCAGCTTGAAATAGCAACCTTTAAATGATTCCACAGCTAAACTTTCTAAAATACACCTTTAATGCATACTTTTATGTATGTCATGAACTCTCCACATGTCACAGAAGCAATGACCTTGCAACGAAAAACGCACTTCAGAATTATGCAACATGTCATGTGCCACAAGTTGAGCACGTACAGAACAAATAAACAAAATTATTAAGATAGAACTTGCATCAGCCAGGCAAGAAAGAACGAAGAAACGAGGGCTCTTGCACGTGCTTTGCACTCTCCACCATCAGCTACAATATAATTGGTTCTAGCTTAAAACACATTACATGAGATAGCGCTAGATTTCTCATGCTGAAAGCTACTCACCCCCCCCCCCCCCGAGTACTTGACAGCCGAAATTAAAGGCGGCACGTATTCTGTGGCTTGCTTGCTCGAAGCTTTTCGGTATGTTGAGAGTTCGCGACACTAGGCAGTGAAGGGTTAGAGAATGCCTCGAGTAGCATGACAATTTTGTGTAGCCCACTTTACATGAACCAATGCAGATGGAGTGTAGCAGGACTACTTTGCTATCCAGAAGACTGCAGAAATGAGGCAGAAGTGACCAAGAAAGCAAAGATGCTGCCTGCTTCTGGCTCCCTTCCACTTACTTCTTTACTTAAAGAAATTCAGAGGGTATAATGCGCTTGTCTTTTTCCCTAACTTCTTTTCCTGCAAGCATGCAACATACACTTACCCCTTTCACTGGCATCATCCACAAGGATTATCTCTTCCAGCAGAGCCCGTGGTGACGTCCGTATGACACTGTGCACTGTTCGCAGCAGGGTGGACCAGGCTTCGTTGTGGAACACAATCACGACAGATGTTGTGGGAAGCTTTTCCGGGTAAACCTTATCTTTGCACCTGTGTGGGGCAGATAATTGGTGTTTTAAGCCCCAAAACTAGGATACGAGTATGAGGGAGAGCGTGGAGGACAGCTCCAGAAGTATTGACCATTTAGTGCACTTTACCATGCACCTAAATTCACGTACAGTGCCTCTAGCATTTCGCTTCCATCGAAATACGGCCACGCGAAGCTGATGACCACAGCTGACACTCTCACGACCTTAAGAAGACACCAAAGATCAGTCTGATAGGGCACTCACACACTTTCCTATATTAACCCGAATATCACTGGTTGTTAGGATCCCTGAAGATACAGTAAAATGTCATTATTTGAACTCAGAGATTTTGAATTCCCACTTAATTCAAAAGATTCCTGCAGTCTCGTATTTTTCGGTGTAAGTTTAGAGGAAGCAGCGATCAGTACCAGCCAATTAATTCGCAAACTCTAAGTGCCATGTGCCGATTCAGGATACCGATACCACCATTAATCTGCAGAAATGACGATGCTTAAGAGCAACAAGACAATGAAATGTAGAGACACTAATGAGGGACAGGTGAAGCACCCTAGCCTCACTTATTCCACTGGTAAAAAAAAAAAATCTATGGGTTGTGTGGTGGGCTAAAACATTCATCTCTGGAAAAGAAGATGCGCTTCACTGTAATACAGAGGTACATGCAAACAGCATGTTGGATGTTTCATTGCACGTTACATGCTGCAGGGAAGCATCTAGAGTCCTGTTTGCCAACACAGCATGTCAGATAAACTTATATTGTAAACACTTTGCTTCCCATACTCTTGTACACTCATCATGAGTGCATAAACTCAAATTTGCCCCGCAATTATTTCACAAAAAAAGAAAAATCGACAGAGAGTGACGAAGGGTATAAGTGAACAACGGTATGAACAGGAGTGAATAGCGTCTAACTTGTACAAACACTAAAGCCAATGACAGATACTTTGACATGACGTACTTGATGTACAAATGTCAGCAACCGTCACATTTGGAGAGTGGACACGGTACAGGTATTTGAGCAATTGCTTGGGTGAGATTGTGCTAGCATCCCGCTTTACAAATGTTTACTTGTGCTTTTAATTCAAGAAGGAAAAAGATTTTCTAGAGCTTGTTTTTTGTTTCACACTGACCTTCATGAAAACCAGCTGATAACAAAGTCAAGGGAGGTTTAGGGAAATAATTAACTTTACTGTTTGACATGTATTGTCGTAATTGTGATGTAGATGTCAAGATAAAAAAGTAGACCAAAAGACAACTTGCCACAGTGAGGGACCGAAATTAGCGACCTTCGAGTTACACACTCTATGCTTTTACTAACTGAGCTATCCGCAGCGGTAGTCCCCTCGGCCACTTATCGGGTATTTATGCATACTGCAAACATTTCCATGTGTGTAAAAGTAATACATAGTGCTAACGCTATTATAATGCTTCAAGGATGCACTGTAGTCCCCATTTGTATGTATAAGTGGGACCACCAATTGAACCCTCTCTGCTTAGCGAAGTAGGAAGCAAGCCAAACATTCAGAAAGTAAGAAGTTCGTGTGACACCGATCTTGATAATTGGGAGTGGGTGTGACTATGGGTGTAAGAGCATACTGGTAAGTGCAAACAAAATTTTCTATTGAAGCATGATTTAGGTTGAAGAAGGAATGTGAGAGAGGCCCTTCGATAAGAGAGTGCACAGCTCACGAAAACACATGATGTATGAGCTGTACTTTACTACGCAGTATGGTAAAAATGTACATGAAATACCTACTTCTCCAGTCTCACGTCGGGCAAAGACCGGTTGAGGGCAATGCGGTCACTCGCCAAGAGGTTGAACTGGTTTAGCTTGAACTTCTCTTTCTTGAGGGCCTCTTCCTCGGGGCCAATTTCAACACCACGGCCACGTTCCCCGGGCCAGTCAGATGGGTTCTCGCCAAGCTCTGTAGAATGTAAACAGGAGGACTTCATCAATAGGTGCCCGAATTTCCTGTATATGAGCCTCATAAAATAAGGACACCTTAATTTACCAACTTCCTCTGGGCATGTTCATACACACCTCACAACAATTTTTGAATGGCATAGGTAGAAAGAAAAGGGGAATTAGAATTCATGTGTTTTTAAGACTTCCGATACACTTGCATAATGCAAGGTTTGTATTATCATCTCCAGGAGAGAATGGAAAAACCATTTTCCCACAAAATTGCATTACAATCATAAAATAAAATCACCAATGGACATTCAATTACCAACCAGTAGGGCCATGATATTGGCAGCACATTGATGCCAGCTATATGATATACAATGCTTGTTAAAAAAAGTTCTCCACCAACTTCATTTGACAAAACGACCGTCATAACAAAGCTTTATGAAATACAAACATTAAAGGAGAAACATACTTTTTATGTAGTTCATGTTTTTCTGCACTGTTTCTTTCCCAGTGCAACTAACAAGCGTACACTTAAAAATGACCTCGAGTATTTAGGAAGAAGACAACAGCAGTGGGGATACAAGCTGAAAAAAAAACGGAAACTTGGTTATATTGTCCCGAACTTAGAAAAACTTGATATAGTGTAACTTAGCAAAAATATAACAAAACCTTAACAAAATCGTCGAATAACAGATGATACAACTCTGCTGTGCCTATAGCTTGCAACAGCATCGCTATTCAAAGCTAGGTGGAACTGTTTTTTTTTTAATCATACGGCACCGAACTCGAGCCTCTGCCACGCTCACAGCATTGCACGCGCGCGACTTCGCACCAGAAGAGTATGCGAGCAAATAAAAAAATAGCGAGATCTGCGTAAGAGCACTTCTCATCTGGTAAGCAGCTCAGGAACTTATTGGCAGCCGAGAAGCACTTAGCACTATTATTGCTTGCCGCACTTTGCTGGTGCGCGCCGCCGACGTCTACGCTTGAGCGTGGTAATTCTCAAGTTACCGGCATGACCATCTTGGAAGCTTACGTATTACATAAGCGTGCTTACAAGGGGAAGTTTCGAGGCAGACCGCAATACCTCTTGTGCACCATGAGCGGTGCATAATATATGGTTTATATATATGCGCCACACTGCTTATCTGGAAGCTTGACGTCACGCGCAATAGGTACGACGGGCGAGGAGAGACAACTTACCCCGTTTATGGCTTGCATAGCATACATTCATACTACTCGGGCAGCCGTGCGTAACACACCACGGAGAATGCATTGTCGGGGTGTGAAGGGTGTTAGCACTAAGCCAGGGCTTTGAAGGAGGCTTGAAGTATCAAATCACCACGAATGCTTTCAGCCATAGCCTAATAGAGGAGGCTATGTTTCAGCTTATGCATATGTATTCTACACACGCACTACAAAGAATTTCTGACTACCCTGCAGACAAACAGCAAACGTCAAGTTAATTTCATGCACGGGCGACTCCTATCTTCTTTCTCAACAAACACCTTTTAGTGATAGTTAGCTAAATGTATACACCTTTTCACAGGAAGGAAAAAAAACACCGCCATGATGGGCTGTGCGCGGGAGTACAAAGGCTAAGGGCGCTGCGTTGTCAGTGCATTTTCAAGAGGACGCGCCAATTTGCACAGCCCAATGAGGGCTATGGCGGCGCCCAGGGAGGCGCTTATGAAAAGGTGAATTCTTGATCATTCTTGATCTCATTCTTGATCTCATTCATTCTCATTCTTGATCGTCTCAGGTTGCTTTTAACATTACGCGCGCATTTTCCTTTTAGGTCATCATGGCCACCACACCGGTTTAGTTCTAAGGGCTTTAGTGTAGCTAGCATTATGAACCCTGCTTGCATGCCGAAGCAACGTAATTAAGAGACATGACAGGACGACAGGCGCTGACAAATCCGAACAACACGCATGCAACGTTAAAACTATGCCCCTTTTCGAGCGCTACGGAGGACACAATCGTCGGGGCTACGGAACTCACCGACGGGCATCCAGCTGCGAAACTCGCCCCGTGGCGATTGCAGCGACCTGCTGGCGGACGGCAGCCGCTCGACCGCCGAGCTGGACTTGGCCAGGCAGCCGGAGCCTATGCACTCGGTGTAGTACATGAGCAACAGGGCTGCCACGCAGAACCACACCAGCGACGTCACCAGCACAACCTTGCACGTGTGCAGCCGGAGGAAAGCGCACCCGGAAGCATGGCGTCTCGTTCTTTGGCGCACTCACACGCACTGAAGATATGGCACGGCCAGCGCGCGAAAACACACACACACACGATGTACGCGCACAGAGTTCCACTCCCGGCACGGCCAATGTAACGGGATCTTACCGACGTGCTCGGGACGATCCACGCAAGGAACGAAACCGACACGACGTCGAAGGCGCCCGGATTATTGTCGCAGCGGCTCGTGAACGGGTTGTCGCGTCCTCTTCTTGGTTTTTCCCGTTTTCGAGCTTGAGGATGAACGTCCTAAGGAGCATCTTCGTGTAACTTGTGTAGCGATGACGACGACGGCGTCGCCGGTCCATTGCACCTTCTGACGAGTAGCATTTTTTAGCGCCGATCAGCGACGAGGCTTAGTCGATAGAAGGCCGCCGAAATCCACAAGAAAAAAAAAAGAACAAAGATAACAAGGTGAACAATTAAATTAACAAAAACTCAAACACAACCTTCTTCTTCGGCTTGTTTTTCTAGGTCCTTGTTACGAATAGGGATGGGCAAAGGAAAGGAAAAAAAAAACAACTAAGGTAACCGAGGCAAAGGAAGACTACGCAGGTTGGTCATAACGCGAGCCTGGCCATGGCCGTGCGAGTTGCGGCTTCGCGGTGGCGACAGCAGGATCGACGCAACGTCAAGTTGATGCAGGCGGCGCAGGAAGGAGGCCCGTGCTTCAACATTGGCGTCGAACTGTGAGCCGAGCCAGCTTGCCAGAAGCTCTCAGCACGGCGGCTTGCTCGGGTTCATCCTGGGAGGAAGAGAAGAACAAGAGAGGGGTTGTTGAATGGCGTGCCGACTCGAATCACGTTTGCGTACACATGTATAAATGAAAGTCAGCCCCCGTGCAGTGACACATTAGGGAGGGGGGGGGGGGCGCTGCGGCAGACCTTCGCCCCACTCCTCCTGAGGCTAACCCCGTGCACGGCTGCCGTTGCGATCGGGACAGCATTCCCACAGAAGAAGGGAGCAAGTGCCATCCGCAACAGCAGCGTGAATCACGTGGAATGTCCTTCGACGCTGTGGCTAAAAATGTGTGGCCGTTGTCTTGGCCATCCCTCGCTCTGTGGGAAACAGCATACCTCGGGGAAAAAAAAAAAAAAAGAGGAGGCGAGGGCCACGAGAGCGGCGCATGACCAGCGGTGTGTACCACGCGGTGCTGCGACACCGATTATACGTTTATCCTTTTGTCCCATAGCAATCAGCCACCGCCAATAAAGGAGGAGGCTCCAGCGGGGCAGAAGGCCATAAATCGTCAGTCGACATTTCAAGGTATGTTTGTATAATCATGCTACTAACTGTACGTATTTGTAAACACAAATACGTACAGTTGCTTTTGAAAGAAGAGCGGCACGGCACGTCAGGCCTCGCGCTCTAAGGTCTCCAAACCCTTCGTGGTGGCTTTCGCACCCACCCAGTCCTCCAGCCTCAACAACTCACAAGGTTTCTGTTTCGGTTACTTCCTTGGAAAACCCGTCCTTGTCATCGCAGGAGCATTCACGGTTGGCCTGGTCCGAGCGTTTTACGAAATGTGCTCGCGTACACGACCGATTTTCTCTTCCTAAGTCAGGGAACGTGAACTAGGTCAATGTTTGCGTGCATAAAGAGTCGATACCACTGGAAGGACGCACACTGACGATCATATATCCCTTCCAATCCACCATTCCTCTTTTTCTCTCTTACAGAGGGCGAAGAGAGAGAAGGGACGAAAGCGAGCAACTTATGGCGCAACTGAATGGCCTGTAACCTCAGAGTAATTCGAAATCGCGGTGCACGGCATAGGCATGCACACACAGTAAGGTACAGTGCCCCCCCCCCCCCCCGCCCCTTTCACCTACCACAACGGCCTCACTAGAGTTGTATATGCGCGGTAAGCATACACAGTGACAAATAGGTCTTAGCACTGTGTCTAGATGCAAAGTAAGGTCCCTAAAAGTGATTTCGGGCAAAAGGCGGGTCGCGAAGAGCGGGAGGGGGGAGTGCCCCACCTTCCCTCGACGTAGAACTCTGCGCACGCCTGTGCTAACGGCCACAGCGGCCGTCGCGCGAGACACATACGAATGCACGAGCGAGAGCTTCTCCGGTTACCGCGGGGATGCAACGCAAATCGTCACAGGTGATTAACGATCGGCTCGCGCACCGCGGCGGAAAACGACCGCGAACGCGACGCAGAGCGCCACTTAATCAAAGTTGCGCGCCGCGGTTGGTTAACCTTGCACGAAAACGAACCAAATGAGCCCGAAAACGGCGCAAATTGTGGAGAGAGCAGCGCCAACGCCACCTAGCCGCACGCACAAGGTCTCCCCTTTTTCATCCATCCCTCTTCTATTTTACGTTTCAGCAGTATTCGTAGGCGTTTAAACGGAGAACGCGCGAAATTCCGAACTGCGTAGCATTTACCGCACGTAAAGCTTACAGGGAACATTCCACGCTAAAAGCGCACCGTGCGCTCCTGCCGTTTAATATTCATAGCGAACAGCTCGCGCGAGACAGCTAGGCGAAATATGTGGCCTCCGCTAACTTCCCTAGCCCACGTCTCTACAAGATTAAAGAAAGGTTGGCGCAAATCCGGTGTATACTTTGTCCACGATGTCGCAAGCGTAGACAAAAGGGTTGAACTCTGAAGCGAGACTACATTCCGATACGAGAAAACAGGTGTTTCGTAGCGCTTTCATATAAGAATTCCACTCTACTGAAACTGAGAAAAAGTGTTAAAAAGAAGCAAATAAAATTAACAACCACAGGGACGTGAAGTTGTAAAAGTACGTGTAAAGACCACGCTGCATGAAATGCGCCTCCAACTGATCATCATTCTTGGGAAGAAAAAGAATGGGCTTGAGTGACGCAGTAACTGTCTTTCGGGCGAGGACACCACGACACTTAGGGGGGATGGGGAAAAAAGGTAGGGGAGGAATCACAGTGGAGTAGCTGGCTCGGGGGACATAAGCATAGCACTGGCAACCATAAACTCGGCACCATAAGGCGGCCGCACTGGTGGAAAGGGGGAGGCAAAAGGCAGCCGTCCCTCCTTAGTAATCTAAGAGGGGAGGGGGCGCATAGTCTGCATCATGCATTCACGTAATATGGAAGGAGGGGGGTGCGCTGCGACAAATTTTACCCCTCCCCCCGCCCCCGAAGAAGAACGCTGCGCACACCTATGCTCGGCACAGCGACTTTGCTTCTACTTAAAAAGGTGCATTACCGTGCATTTGTTTTTCTCTTTCTCTCTCTCTCACACACACGTGATGAATCTGGCATCACGGGACAGACGAAAGTATACACAAGACAATCGCTGTATTCGATGACAGCCACAACGCGTCATTGTAGAGCCACGCATAAGTGTCGTGAAAATGAATCAAGCCAGGCGGGTCGAACAAAAAAAATATATAGAGAGCAACCAGAAAGCGAACGCCTCAAAGCAAGTGCCTCGTAGAAAGCGAGGGCGATCTTGCACGGCGAAAATAAAACGCGACGCAGGCAGCGAGAAGGCGATATTTCCTACACCGTAATCCAAATAACACTAACAAAGAAAATCATACTAATAATGCAGAAGAGAGAAAACGAAACAACGTCAAGGGAAGTCACGCGCCACACCTCTCAGACCCGACCTTCTCTTCCCTCCTCTCTTTTTATATCAAGGAAGCGAGCGGAGGCGTACAAACAATAAGGTGGTGAGAGCCTTACTTTTCAAGATGGCCGACAGGATAAAAGGACCCTCGATCCCAGCACGGTACGGATCGCCCACCAAGGGCACACCAACAGCGGCGGCCACGACGTAAAGAAAAAAAGCGGCCCGGCCCTTGCGGCACTTACCATGGCCTTGCAAGAAATTTACGGCGAGGATAAACGTCGAATAACGAGTACGACGAGCGAGATAGGGGGGGAGAGCTGTAGCGTTGGCGAAATCAGGAAGAACCGCAGGCAAAACGGTAGCCGTTGCCTCTGGCTGCAGCAGAACAACAGCTGCTTCGTCGATAAGTGCTTATCTGAAGATCCACCGCCGAAGAAGAATACCCCGATGCGTTAGGCGCTTCTGCCGTTAAAATAAAAAAAAAGAAAGAGAAACACGAGAGGATTGGGGAGAACATCGCTCTTTCTCTCTCTCTCTCACACACACACACCCAAGCCCACACACACACACACACACACACACACACACACACACACACACACACACACACACACACACACACACACACACACACACACACGCACACACACACACACACACACACACACACACACACACACACACACAAACACACACAAACACACACGCACACACACACACACGTCAAGCGAAAGGGAGCACACGCATCCCCAAGACGCTATCCCTCATACGCTCTCCTCCGGATTCTCGACCCATTGACGCTCGAGCTAGCATGCCTCCTCAATCGTCCTCCGTTAGCCGCATACGTTACCTAGCGCGCCAGAATCTAACGAAGTACTCTCGTATAACCACCGTTCATTCTTTGTTCAGTTTTGTTTTCTTTGAACTTTCATGTCGCTTTTTTGGCGCACCGTCGTCGGAGCGATTCTCCCCATGCATCTTCCTCCTCCTGCTCCGCTCCTTGCATCGTTTACGATCGGAAAAGCTCGGTAATAGAACGATCGCTGTCGCGAGAGGAAACGATTCAATTTCGCGGCGAGGCGAGAAAACGCCAGGGAGAGAGCGAAATGCGAGAGGCGGGGAGAGAGAGGAATAGATACTACTACGCATATAAACTGCCTTTGACTTATAAGCCATAAATGAAACTCCTTCAAAATGTTTTACGGGAGCTATAGGCTGTAAATAAAAGCGAGCCATGAGTTTGAAACTTTACATAAATGCAGCATAGCGCATGCGGACGATGCGCGACACTTGCCATGGTGACCTTTTTAAGAGTTCACATGGCGGTGACTTCGCGGAAATATATATCATATGACATTTATACCATTATCACTCGATAAGCATTTCTCATTCACGGCTATTAATTTCACTACATTTATTTATTCTATCAGCCGTTATGGGTTATTCAAGGAGAGCACAGGGCATATACATGAAACATGTAGAATTGCATTTATAGGGGGCAATCAACACTACGCATGTATCAGGCGCATAAAAAAGGTATACCGAAGAAAAAAATCATTTTTAAATATAAATTAGAACACGACGAAGCGA